CTCTCCCTAAATTACTGCCTGCAGGATGGAAACAGTCTCTCAATTCTATTTTGTAGCTTTAAAATTTTTAAAATTTTTATCAGTATATGTTTGCAGTACACAATGATTACCTTCATTGTGAGGAGTTGGTACATGTACATAACACATCGTCATTCTTTTTAAGGTACCCTTTCCCTCTCTTTACTCCCCCTCCCATTTCTATTTTTGGGATTTGCCTGAGTCACAAGGTAGCCTTGGCAAATCACACTGCTCTATCTTCTACTTTATTGAGGCTGCCTGGAAATTTCAACTGTCAGCCAAATGGGAAGAGGGTCCTTCTGCCTAATTCCAAAAGGCCTAAGTCATATAGATGTGGTGAGGTTCAATGGTAGATAAAAATCACTGTAAAAGGATTTCCCACAAGGTGTGAGGGAAAAAAAGCAAAACATTTCACTTAACTTCCTTTCTATGAATTCAGAGCTGGAAAAAAACCCAGCAGACTTATAATCTTATAATATTGGTGAACAAAGTTTTCTTTTTTTTTTTTTCCAGTACCAGGAATCGAACTCACGACCTTGCACTTGCCAGGCAGGCGCTGTGCCACTGAGCTAAACCCCCAGCCCCTGTGAGCAAAGTTTTCAATGTTTGCATAACATGCTTTTTTTTTCTTTTAGACAGGGTCTTGTTATGCAGTTCAGGTTGAATTCACTATGTAGCACAGGTTGACCTTGAACTTGTAGTAATTCTTCTGCCTGTCTCTTGAGTGCTGGGATTACAGGTTTGAACCACTATGCCTGGCTTGCATAACATACATTTTCAACTAAAGATAGTACTACTATATTTTTACTGTATATGGACACTTCAAAGGAACATGACTGAGCTCATTCTGGAAAAGTTTCATATGGACACTTCAAAGGAACATGACTGAGCTCATTCTGGCAAAGTTACACTTTTTTGTTTGTTTTGTTTCTCTATGCAATTCAGGCTGGACTTGAGCTCACTTTGTAGCCCAGGCTGGTCTGTAACTTACAATGATCCTCCTGCCTCAGCCTCCCAAGTGCTGGGATTGCAGGCATGAGCCACCATGCCTGGTTTAAATTGCAGTTTAAATTTTAAAAATCAGACCAGTGTGGTAGCACATGCCTGTAATCTCAGCACTGAGGGAGGCTGAGGCAGAAGGATTGCAGTTTGAGTCCTGCCTCAACGATTTTGTGAGACTGTGTCTCAAAGTAAAAATAACAAAAGAACTGGGGATATAGGTCAGTGGTAGAGAACTCTAGAGTTTCATACCCAGTACCCCCCATACACACACACACACACACACACACACACACACACACACATCAGTGTTCATAAACATGAATAAACCACAAAGCTCCTTCTTTATCAACAGGTCTAGAGCCGGGTGTAGTGGCACATACATGACCCCAGCACTTGGGAGGCTGAAGCAGGATGCTCATAGTGAGTTCAGGGCCAGCCTGGGCTATATAGTGAACTCAAGACCAGCCTGAATGCACAGTGAGACGCCGACTCACAAAAAAAAAAAAAAAAAAAAAAAAAGCCATAGAGTTATTTCCACTCCATAGATTACTTAGTGCCCTGTATGTAGTCTCGAATGTCTCTTGGTTGTGCAACTAGCATCCCCTCCCTAGAAATGTTTTGTGCTTTTGTGCTTATGATACCCTTTCCCCATGATGCCGCTTGACAGAATTATTGTTTTTGTACTCACAGAAATAGCCAGGCATGGTGGCGCACGTCTGTAATCCCAGCACTGGGGACACTGAGGCAGGAAAATCTTTGTACGTTCAAGACCAGACTGGGCTATGAAGTGAGCTCAAGGCCAGCCTGAACTGCATAGAGAGACCCTGTCTCAAAAAGACAAAAAACCAAAAAAAAAAAAAAAAAAGTGTGCTTTTGTGCTTATAACGCCCTTTCCCCATGATGCCTCTTGACAAAATTATTGTTTCTGTACTCACAGAAATGCACATGAAATGATGAAAAGCCTTGGAGATGTAGCCCTGCAGGTCTCAAATGGATCCATCGCTAAGCCTCTCTTCACTTGGCTGAGTTCCTCTCTTGGCCTAGGGTTAGCGATCTTGCATGGCATAGGAGGCTTAGGACCCAGGGGGCGCCTTTCAGCTGAAAAACACCTCGCGCTGCAGCAAGCTAGCTGGGAAGCTCCCAGTTCTAAAGAGAGGCTGTTTACCAGAAGAGCATAACAAGGGCAGATCTGGCTGCAAGACTAGGCTGGAAGGCAAAGCTGCTGCCAAAAAGGACCCCAGGTGGATACTGGTTGTTCAATCACCTGCAGGACCGAGGAGGAGAGGATGGTGTTGGTCTGGGTACAGACATTCCTTCTCAGCAGCGTGCTCCTAGCAGAAGCCTATGGATCTGGAGGTGAGATTACAGTCTTTTCCTTCTGCAGCAAATTAATCAAGCTGAATGGGTAAAGCCCCCTAGGTCCCAGACATGGCCAGGTGGCAGGAAGTGAAGCCTTTACTGGTTTTTGTCGTCCAATGAAAGGACCCTCCTCCCTTCCCTCGCCAGGGGCTTGCAGCTCCATCTTTGCTATTAAGAACAAAGACAAGTGGCCACTTTCTTTCTCCCCGTCCTTGCTCTGGAGTGGATGGATGTTGGAAATTCATCTCTACTGCACACATCCTGTTCTCTTTAGGCCCTTTGCATGGTGTGCCCAGAGAATCGGCCCTCCTTCCCTGTGCCCGTCCTGTGGCCTTCCTGCTGCGGGGAGTGGGAGTTTGGCGTCACACCCAGGCAGCGATGAGGGAGGTTCCCACCGTGTGAAGCTTTCTTGACTGTTCCCCTGACTCAAAGCGTCTGTAAATTTCTCCTGCGAGGGAGTGTTGCCTGTTAAACTGTTAAACTGGCAGGAGGTGGCCGTGTCCGAGGAGGAGAGAACACCAGGGTTTATGTAACACGAGTATTTCAACACAGGGGTGACTTTCAGGTCTGGCTGCCCACTCCCACCATCTCCATATAGGGACCCTAGGCCGGGTCTCCTCTTCCTACAAAAGTGGCCACTAGTTCAAGAGCAACAGTTCAGTCGGGCGTGGTGGCCCGTGCCTGAAATCCCAGCACTCGGGAGGCTGAGGCAGGAGGATCTTTGCGAGTTCGAGGCCAGCCTGAACTGCATAGCGAG